AAGACCTGATGGTCATATATGCATTGGCACTTGGCAATAAATAGCAATACTGAGAACAAATCTGAGGAATTAAAGATTAAATTTATTTTGTTACGAGTCCCAGGTTCTCCCTTGGACTGTCAGACACATTTTGTTCATTACTCTATACTTGAGAACGTAACAGGTTGTCACAATAGATGGCGAAGACATAATTGCTTCTTCCATAAAGAACATTAGAGAAGTTTGAAAGCCCAGTGAATGTCACCCTGCGGAAAGTTACCTCGACGTCAAAGACGAAGGCTAACTCTGGCTGTTGAGGGTAGGATTATAATTCAGGTTTGAGATGAGCTTCCAGCTCAATGTTGAATTGGCTTTTCATAAGCTTTCTAATAATCCAACTTCATCAACCAGGAGAGATGACACATTATCGTGTTTCAGAATTTCGTTGGAGGTGAGGCCTCGGTCGTGGGCAATTTCATTTAACTTCTCTGTCATGTTCATTTCTTTCACCACCTTTTTGGTTGTCTTCTGTGGCATAATTCTGATTGTGCTCGTATTCCTGAGGTTTGTTCTATGAATGGTGTGACACAGTTTTGATGTTTTCTTCATGATTCTATTTCGGCGAAAGGCCAGGTATGTCTCCTCGCCCTTTGCAGTAGCATTCCGGACATCGTTTCTATTTTTTTTTGTGGCCTCTTTAGTCACGAGATTATGGAAGAATGGGGGACGTTACAGAAAATGAAAACGCTGTGGTCAACAACAAAGAGACACCGTTATCAACATTATATGAGGAAAATCTGCGAAATCATGTTAAAATTCCTGTTCCATGGTGAGTTTGGCGGCCATCTTGAATTTATGAGCTTTAAATGACCTCTGATCATAAAAGCGATGCCGCCATGGTCAAAAAACCTAATTTAGACAACATGATGATGTTTTCAGAGAATATAATGCATATTTAATTATTTACATAATTGTGCAAATATAGTAGTAGCGGGAAATGTTTGAGAGGAGCTGTAGGGCACCCAGATTTTTTTCAAATGCAAATAGAACAAGAAAATAATGGGTAACGCTGCACATGCAGAATGGACACACCCCCCCCTCCCAGGCACCTAGGCTATTATAGAAAGAGGCATCATGACCGCATTGACACTCGACCGCTTTCACTTCCATAATTTTTTAGTTAGGTACCCACTGATAGCTGGGTGAATTGGGGGTGTCCTGGGGTAGAACCATCGATCCTTCGGATAAGAAACGAACATTTTAAAGTCACCACTCGGCAGCTGCAGCATTTGTCTTAACAATAGATTCATATAAAAATAAATACGAAATCGTAATAAATATTATGAGTGGGAAGTTGGTAACAAGTATACGAGATATTCCACACAGAACAAAGCTCGTCAGTATTTATCAAACTGTAAAACGTTGTTATGTTTTTATCACTTCTGGTTATCTCCCACATTGAGATAACAAATATACTCGTATATCTGATGGTTACATAGATGTCAGGTATCTTTGTGGTCACGATAACCTCTACATCTGATCAAACAATGTGTTATAATTTAGTTACTCTGATGGTCGTTATTAACATGTAAATCATCCTCATTACAACACCAAGTGTCTAATCACCCATTCAGTGAGACAAATAGTAATTACCCTTGATGTAAATGTTAATTATTTTGGGACTAGTTTCCACACTGCTCGTACATTATGGGACAGTGCTGACTAGAGGACTCTCACAGTGATGAAATTGTATTGCTTTATACGCTGAGAGATACCAGTGTGTTGGGAGGGAGGCGTGCCATGAGTGCCATTGTGTCATGTTTTAGTGTCAGTAGTGCTTTATACGTTCATAACCACAGGAAGCTCACTACGATTGAACATATTTATACAGTATAGTAAGAGTGGGGATCAAGTACACTGTGTAATAAATTTTCAGCATACAAGGAGGCAGGTCTTGATGGACTTCACTTCCCTACCCTAAAGTAAGGTACCGATTAAGAACGGTGGTGCTCTAGGTGTGAACCAACGACCCTTCGAACAAGAGTCAAGTACTGTATCCACTCAGCCGCTGCGCCACGACAATAGGCACTTACAGTGACACAAAGGAGAATCTCAAAAAAATGATCTGCTACAAGGTGCTGTCTTTGTTCCTTCTCTACCACCAAGGTATGCTATCATCAATGCTATTAGATTTTCATGATCATCATTTTCGTCATTTTAGTAACTGCCCGGTGCCTCTCGGCAATATTCATAGGCAAGTCCTACTCACTACCATCCCTTTAGTATTTCTTTACCAGTTTTAATATTCTACAATAAGCGACTCACGAATAGATTGAGTTCGAAAGGCGCATGTGATGTGTGTATTACTTTGTCAATACAGATTTGTAGAACTTTTATTGTGTGAGACTTGACCCTGATACCAAATTATGAGGTAAATTTTTAGTTCATTCTGCCTGATCTTAAAGGTAATACAGTGAATGGGCGATTTTCTATGATTTTTTAAGAAAAAAAAATTACTCTCACAAACTATTTTCTCTCTCTTTTACACACACACACACACACACACACACACACACACACACATATATACACACACCTTCCTACTATTTGAATTTGTAATTTTGCATCATGGTGACGATGGTGATCAGCATGTGGAGTGTTGTTGGCGCAGTGTCCTGATGGATGGCAGCTCTGGGAGGGTACAAATCAATGCTACATTCTCCTCACCCGCCCTGACACGAATACTTTTGATGACTCTATCACCCTTTGTCGTGTCCGTGGTGGTGACCTGCTGTCTATACCTGATAAAGCTACCAAGGTACTTCATACGACTTTCTTTGGTTATGTTTTCTAGTAGTTTATTTTTATCTATAAATCATATAAACAAATGACTATTGCACCAAGGAGTATATCACTCCTGGTGATTACACTAGATTAAGTTGAAGGTTGTTACTTTCTTGTGATTGATAGGTATTCCGGTATTTCTGTTACGTGATGAGGAGTTGTGGTCAACTGGATATGCTCTCGCTCTCTGTCCTGTAACTGGTTCGTACCCAGGGGTCTACCCAACGTGTGAAAGGGTATAGACTACCTATTTGTAGCTGAGGCACGGCAGTGGAATGCTCCAATACCCACACTGTTTCCAGTTGCACCTAAAAACAGATTAGGTTTACTGTGTGTTGTATACTCACTCTTCCAGATATGCCGGTAATTAGGCCTATTGGATCCACTTTCATTATTTTGACTATTTCGTATACTTAGTTTCATAGGCGAGACGGTAATACTTACTATTCACATCTAAAAAAAAAATAGTGTATCTTCTTGTACTGTAAGCAAAAATTCGTCTAACTCTGTCATGATAACTTTCCTTTTCTCCTGTAAACTTGGAAGAACTGGCTACGGAAAATTCTCTCGGCGACACAGCTTGAGGGGCAAGACGCGTATACATGGGTAGGTGCCAGGCTAGTGAACGACTCGTGGGTGTGGGTGGATACGGAGGAACCTGTCGACAACGAAATGCTGTGAGTAGTACCTGACTGTACTTGTATGGGTTCCAATACGTAAAATTAAAAAACAAATATGTCAATCTCTTGTTATCTAAATCCGATGGATGCCTTTGAAAATGTTATGTCACATTAAATTGCTCATTAGCCGTCAGTTTTGTGTATACAGGTAAATCCCCAAAATTATTATCAATTTTCATTCAAAGAATTAAAGGCATTCTAAGTTGAAGTTCAATAAATTTCATTATCGTTTGCATTACAGGCTTTTTATGTATGTGTGCAAACTAAATATTTATTTACAAAATACTATCAGAAGAAGATCTACTGCATGACTTACACGGTAATGGCGTCTGATGCTCATCCCTCCCATCAGTGTCCAAATACTGCTCCCAATTGAAGCTCACAAATAATAATAATTTACACAGTTTCAGTTCACTTATGTTAAATATTTCACTATGATTCTCCACTTTATAATATCTACAATTTATATCAATGTTTATAACTCTTAAAAGCTCTTCCTAGATATGTCACATTTATAATGACTCACGCATCCCAACACCACCATGTTACATGTGATCTACAAGAACAAATTTGTTTACACCCCCATAATATTTTCTCAAACTTTCTTCTCAGTAACTCACAATTTATAGAGTAGTCTCAATTATTTATAGATAGATATATCATCACGATCTACAATCATTAGGCTATTTTGCAATTAACTTTTAAAAATATAACGTTACAAATTTACTGAGATAACTGCATATGTATCTAGGTCTGTGAGTAACAGAACTGCTGACGTTATCTTGAAACTTTACCTAGCATTAGTGAGGCCACACATGGATTATGCGGTTCAGTTCTGGTGTCCTTATTATAGAATGGACATAGATTCTTTGGAGAGAGTACAAAGAAGAATGACAAAAATGATCCATAATATTAGAAACCTTCCATATGAAGAAAGACTGAAAAGCTTAGGCTTACATTCATTAGAGAGGCGTAGAGTTAGGGGAGATATGATAGAGGTGTACAAGTAAGTGGGATTAACAAGGGTAAAATGGAAGATGTTCTGAAGCTCAGTAATAACGAAATAACTAGAACAAATGGCTTTAAATTAGATAAATTCCGATTCAGAAAGGATATAGGCAAGCACTGGTTTGGTAATAGAGTTGTGGATATGTGGAATAGGCTACCGAGTGCTATAGTAGGATCGGGGACGCTAGGGAGCTTCAAGACGAAGTTGGATAGGCACATGGAAGTGCTGGGATGGGTGTGAAAGGGATCTGCCCTGCATGGGCCAGTCGGCCTCCTGCAGTATCCCACTTTCTTATGTTCTTATGTTCTAATAATACACAAAGTTTCCACAAGATATTATTCACTTACTTTAATTAACATACACTGAGCCACAATATACCAGGACTCAGCACTACTGATCTTCAATCACTACTCTTCTCCATACAATACATTAGATTACTTTACCAAGATAACATCACTATTCAATGATTTCTCACAAACTGAGATATTAAAAATTACCATGTTCTTATCTGTCCTATTCTCTTTCATCTTTCATAGGGATGACTAAACTATTTCTGCTACACATAAGAACATAAGAACATAAGAAAATAAGGAGTCTGCAATAGGCCGGTTGGCCTGTGCTTGGCAGCTCCTGTCGAGAGTTACTACCACTCTCTATCATCCATGAATATATCTAGCCTCCTTTTGAAACTTTCCAGCGTTCCAGCACTTACTACAAAGTTGCTAAGCTTGTTCCACTCGTCCACCACCCTATTTGTAAACCAGTTCCTTCCTATCTCCCTCCTAAACCTAAACTTATCCAACTTAAATCCGTTGTTCCGAGTCCTATCCTGCTCGGGTATTATAAGAACTTTATCTATATCACCTTTATTGATTCCTTTCACCCACTGGAATACTTCTATCATATCTCCCCGCACTCTTCGTCTTTCTAGGGAATGCAATTTTAGTTTCTTTAACCTATCCTGATATGGAAGGTTTCTAAGTCCCGGAATCATTTTCGTCATTCTTCGCTGCACCGACTCTAGTGAATTGATATCCATTCTATAATAAGGGCACCAGAACTGAACCACATAATCGAGGTGCGGCCTGACTAGCGCAAGATATAGTTGCAATAAGACCTCTGCACTCTTATTACTTACACTTCTAGATATAAAATCCAATACTCTGTTTGCCTTATTTCGAACATTAACGCACTGTTTTCTAGGCCGTAGGTCCGGGCTTACTAGTACCTAGGTCTCTTTCATAAGTCGACTTCTCAAGGCTGATGTTGTTAAGGCTGTATACATTGACAGTATTTGTTCTTCCAATATTAAGTACGCTGCACTTGCTGGTGTTGAATTTAATTTGCCATTTTTCAGACCACCCCTGCAGTTTATTTAGATCCTCCTGTAATGAATTTGCATCCTGCCCTGAATTAATCTGCCGCCCTATTTTGGTGTCATCCGCAAACTTGCTTATGTCACTGCTGATCCCAGTATCTAGATCGTTTATGTAGATTATGAACAAGAGTGGGCCTAGTACTGACCCCTGGGGAACCCCACTGGTTACACGACCCCACTCAGATTTAACACCATCTACGCTGACCCTCTGCATTTTATCGATGAGCCATGATTTTATCCAATTTAAAACTTTCCCCTCGATACCATGAGCCTTAATTTTTCTGAGAAGCCTCTGATGCGGTACTCTGTCAAATGCTTTGCTAAAGTCTAAGTAAATAACATCGTAATTTTCGTTATTATCTACTACCTCGAAGACTTTCCTAAAAATGTCAGCAGATTTGTTAGACAAGATTTTCCCTTTGTAAACCCATGTTGAGAGGCGTAGATTAATTTGCTTTTCTCTAAATGCGATCGGATGTTATCTGCTATAATTGATTCAAGAAATTTCCCCACTACTGACGTCAAACTGATCGGCCGATAATTTGACGCTGATGCTCTGTCTCCCTTTTTGAATATGGGTACTACATTTGCCTGTTTCCACAAGTCTGACACAACTCCGGTGTCTAATGATTTTGTAAATAAGTTTACGAGGGGTCCGCTAATCTGTTCCCTACACTCTTTTAAAACAGAGCCGTATTGTTCAAGCTTTGAAAGGAGGATGGCATGGTCGACAGTATTGAAGGCTTTAGAGAGGTCCAAGAATATACCGACTGTGAACTGACTGTCATCAGAGGAATTTAAGATGTCATTAGTAAAGGATAGCAGAGCACTCTAAGTCGACCTTCTAGCTCTAAATCCAAACTGGGAGTCTGTAAAGATGTTATTGGCATTGCAGAAGGAATTTAGTCTATTACATGCTAGCTTTTCCAGTATCTTACTCAAGGCTGGGAGGACTGATATGGGGCGGTAGTTCTTGAAGAGACCTTTGTCCCCAGATTTTTTATATGCCGGGTGGACTTTAGCAATTTTCAGTTTATCAGGAAAGACACCACTAGTGAAGGAGGAGTTACAAATGTGTAGGAGAACAGGTAGTAATAAGTGGGCCACTTTCTTAATGATGCTCATTGGTATATTGTCTTCGCCTGCTGCTTCATCTTTGGACATTTTTATGATGGACAGTAATTCATCTGCTGTGACAGGGGATAAGAATAGTTCATTTTGCTTCTGTTTTGCAGGTAGGCTCTAAATTCCTCATGGTGATTAGGGATGCTCTCTGCAAGATTTTTGCCAACATTAATAAAATATTCATTGAAGTGGTTGGCAATGAGGGAGGGTTCCGTTATAACCGAATCGTTTATCATAAAAGCTGAGTGGGGGGCCGAAGGCTGAGTGTTCCTGTTCTGAATAGAATTTATGACATTCCAGGTTTTCTTACTGTCGCCTGATGCTGACTGGAGCTTATTTGTATAATAGTTACGTCTGGCATTTCTAACTGCTTGAGTTACTCTATTTCTGATACTTCGGTAAGCATCACCGAAAGTTATGGGTCTTTTTGCAAATTTCCTTTGGAGTTTGTGTTTTTCCTTTATCATTATCTTAATTTCGCTTGTGATATAGGGTTTGGAAATGGATACAGTTTTCACTGACTTAGTCTTGAGCGGGAATCATTTATCAAAGCAAGCATTGAAGATGCAAGAGAAGTTACTGCTGTTCACGTTAGGGTTGTTGGAGGCATAGACAAGATTCCAGTTAGCATTCATTAGGTTGTTTTAAAAAAGGAGTATGCTGTCGGTGCAGTAGTCTCTGTATTGAATTGAGACTGTACTAGACCTTTCAGGTCTTGTGGCTGTTTTATACATGGCAAAAACTGGGAAGTGATCTGAGATATTGTTATAAATAATTCCACTGGCAGAGGTGGCAGTTACTCTAGTGGGTTTGGTTATAGTGATGAAGAAGAGTTTAGAATGACAGGTAGCAAGAAGGTCTAATACTGAGGTGTCGGTTTTTTATTTTAATAGATCAAGGTTGAAATCTCCTGTGATGTAGCAGTCTTTCCTCTCTGAACTTATGATAGAGATCAGCTTCGAAAATTTACCATGAAAATTCCTTACATTAGTGTGGGGTCTTCTGTAGATTATCCCTACTAGGATATTTCGTGTGTCGTTACGTAATTCAATGAAAACACTCTCCATGAACTCCTCCTGAACCTTTAAATCACCTCTTACAGAAGTGTTATACTTGATATCAACATATAGGGCGACACCACCACTGTGTCGTGACGTGTTGACGCAGTGTCTATTATAATTAGGAATGTTATACAAATGGTCAATATCGTTAGTGAGTTTGGTCTCACAGAATCCAAGTACATCAAATTTGTGGGCAATAGAAGATAAACACTGATCTAAAAAGGTATCTAGATGAAGAGGAATACTGCTGATGTTATGGCTAATCAAGGAGAAGGAATGAGGTAGTAGGAGACTAGAACTAAACTCGGGGGAATCAGGAAAGTAATAGTTACAGTTTGGGTTGGTGTAACCCAGTGAGTTTTGTAGAAAGACATCAGGATCGATATGAGGGAGTATTGTGTCGACACCATGGGTAAATGGGGTGTAACACATACGATCTAGCACATCTAAGGGAATGACACTAGTATCATTATTGTGGGGTCATTGATACTGATTAAGGAACAGTAAAACTCAGGGTCACTGAGGTGTGAAAAAGGAAGATCTAAGAACATTATAATAGTGGGGGGGTAACGTACTCACAAGTGCTACAACTAACAGAATTAGGATGACTGTTGAGGGTGATTCCCAGATGGAGTGGGAGGTGCTCCTGTCACCCGGGTTTGAGGGTTGCTGGTTTCCACCACAGAGGGTAGACGTGTAATACTTGAGTTGGCCGACAGGGGGGGGAACTCCGCAAGTGATAGCGACAGTGGCTGGTTCCCCCTCGGTAGGGAGGGGGTTCTCGAGCGGCTTGGGGGTGTTGGTACAGCGGGTGGGTGAGTGGGCGGGTGTCTACTTGCCCAATCCCTCACAACAAGAGTTTTATGATTGAACGTCACGTGTTTCCCTTGTTTCCTGGCTTCTTTAAACTGGTCCATTTGCTGTAGGCGGGCTTTAGTCGTACCTGGGCAGAGATCCTCATTGACGCAGATAGTAATGCCTTTCAGTTTACTGCGTTGATAAAACACTTTGTCCCGGTCAGAGGGGGGCGAGAATTTTGTTATGATGTCGCGGGGGCGGGAGGAGTTGGGTTTCCCGACGCGTTGAACACGGTCAAACTTTACTTCAGGAAGTTGAAAATGTTCATTAAGCAAGCGTGAAATTTTGCGTTGGGATGACTCCCAGTTCTCGTGGGTGTCTTCAGGGATACCGGCAATCCTGAGGTTGTTTCGCCGCCCCATGTCATCCACATAATCCACCCGGTCTGCTGTTGTCGTTAGTTCCGCTTGGAGCTTGGAATTTTCCTCACTCAGCTGTTGAACTTGGGTCTTGAGTGTTTGGTTCTCTTTAGCTTCAACGTTCAACTTTGCTTGTAAGTCACTTATTTCCTTTTGCGAGAACTCCAAGCTTTTTTAATCTCACTTAGCTCGTCAGTGAGACGCCGGTCAGCCTCTTCTAGCTTCCTGGTGGTCTCGTTATTCATTTGTTGTATGATGTCCTGTATGAGAGTCCGTTGGACTCCCATTATCACATAAGTCAGCTGTTGTTTCGTGAAATTGGAATTTTTGATACTAGCAGCCAAGTTAGACACATTGGAGCTAGTAAGGGCTGAATAGCTGGCAGTGTGGAGACGGCTGAGTTGTGGTCAGCTGGGTGGCCTGGTGGGACGGTGGGGGAGAGTGTGAGGGGGTGGACAGGGCTCAGATTACAAGCCCTGGCACTGAAGGGAGTTTGGTGGGCCTACACCTCTCTTGGTAGTCACAGATTCACCAGTAAATTGACAAATATATCTACTTAAGGGGATCACAGATAGATATTGTACTGGTCACGACACTCACTAGTCACTCACGAATCAGATTTCCTAGAAATGAGACTGGGTACTCCTGGAAAGACCCTGTTTTTCGACGAAAACACGGAGCTCCCACACACACGTTCCACCTCCACGCTATTGTTGACGGTGTAAATGGATGCGGTTGACGTGTCCAGGATGTGTTGGGAATAATGGAAGGGATATTGACGTAGTTGTCGCCGCAGGCCGTGGGATGATGGCAGCGATGGTAAGTGTGCTGCCTTCACCACCTCCTCCACGCTCATCAAACTGTCTTGCTCCCTTCGTCTTAACCTGGTCTGCCATCGTCCTCTTGGTAAGTAAAGTAATTTTAAAATCATATAGCAAATCCAAACTTAGTTATATTTTAAGTCACTCATATTAATTACCGATATATCAAATAGCTATCAACTACATTAGGAGAATATATTATACATGACACAAATACAGTATTAAATTAAGTAGTTTATCACTGAAATACAATGCCATAATATTGGTGCATCACACTATGACTCTTATATTTCCCTACAGTGATATTGTTCAACTTTAGGGGATAAGGATAAGATATATATTTGTAAATAAACGAAAACAATAAATTTTTTGCCTGAATGAAGAGAATTAGATTTAAGACCGAACAAATGTCTCGGGGTTGATGAGGATGGTGTGGAGTAATTATTCTCTCACCAGGTGTACCAGAGGCGTGTGACCACAGTAAAGGCTGGAATCAGATCGGTGACTTCTGCTACAAGGTATCTTGACATGTTGTAGAATTAATCTAAATATTTGTCGATATTCATTATGTAGTCTTTGACTAGTCAGCACTGTGTGTGTGTGTGTGTGTAGAAATTAACATGAGTCATGAGTTAAAAATTATTAACATTGTTCTTATTGGGAGCGAATACTGGTATAGTGTCTCACTGATATCTGGTGTCCGCAGAGTTCGGGAGACACTGCGTCATGGGCCGTGGGTAGAAGGGGGTGTGTGGAGCAGGAGGCCAACCTCTTGACGATCACGGGCGGACAGGAACAGCAACATGCCTACGACTTCGCCCTCTCTCTCCATGACAAAGTCTGGATTGGCCTTGCCGAGACGGTAAGGTCAATGAACATCTAGACCTGTAAAAAAGAAAGAAAATTCTTTTATTTTGTTATTTGAAAATGTCATCTAGAGAAGGTATACATGTATTGTGTGGGAATACAGTATATGAGTTGTATGCGTTAGTGGAGGGGGGAGAGGGTACTTATATCTATTCCTTATCAGAATTGTTCTTCATACTGGACAGAAACACCCAGGAGAGTGGAGATGGAGTGACGGCACAAAGGTTAACTTCACACACTGGAGCCACGCACAGCCAGTGTAAGTATTTGTTACTTTTACGAGGGAGGACCGCTGGTGACTTGTTTCATCTCCTCATTGTTTCTGGTGAATTTTTTTTTCATGGGTCCAGTGTTAGTATGGTAGGACACAGGAGTACCTGAAGAAAACCTGCATTGATTACTAGTGTCACACCTGATAACACCTTTTCAATGTCCTACCCGGTATGGACCCTATGACGCAACAGTGATAGACAGACACGTTACCTCTCTACACCCAACATATTCAGCCATCATCAATATTCTCTAACCAAAGGAATGTGGCGGTAGAGGTGAACCAAATTTACACAAAGTTTCTTAATATTCACCAGAAGATATAATTAAATTTTCAGTAGGAGTCATAGTGAAATAAAATAATATATACACACAGGTGAAACACTAACTATATAATTATTAAAATCACACAACCTTTTATGCATAACAGTCTGAACCTTGTAGGATGTGAGATCGGATGAAAAGACGTTGTTTAGGTTAGGTTAATGAGGAATATAAGTATTAATTAGTTAAGTAATTATTATTATTTTATTTATTTATTATTATTATTATTATTATTATTATTATTATTATTATTATTATTATTATTATTATTATTATTATTATTATTATTATATTTTCACCCCCAGGCCCTGATGTGGGTCATTGACCTGTGCCTGTGGGCTAATCCCGTAAAAAAAAAATTCATGTAACATCTACTGTACCGTACAAACTGTTTAAAAGAGGCTTGCACCTGTGGAATCCACTCATTCCATACGATACAATAAGGACTAACAAGAGAACGGAGGGATTCAAGAACCTTGCGATTTTGTCGCTCATCGATCTCGCACTTCAGCAAAATAAGCCATAAGGAAAAATGCATCGCCGATACCGACGCTGACGATGACTAGATGACTTCTGGAGTTATCGTTGGAAGTAGCACGAAAATTATGAACCGGGACAGTAATAGATGACTGGAACACAGGTTTAGATAAGTCGTTGAGTCGTTGTAGACACATAGATAGCTACCAGTGATTGATGGCAGGAACTAGTTCCCGTGAACTGATTATTGAGGTCAGTGAACACGTAATTGAAAAACTTAGGTAGCATTGTCGGAGATCAGTTGTCACGTAGTATTATCGGGGTGATAGAGTAACATGTGGCAGACCGGGAGGCAAGGTTGGTTGAGGCGGCAGGCAGAGACCAGTGCACGGTTGACAAGACGTTTTTAGCAGGGAAGCGAAGGTCACGCCATAGAATTTAGATTTCAGATGTCAGATTTGCCCCGCGAGGGAACTAGTTTATTGAGCACCCACTTGCAACACGCCACACACTTGTCTTACAACACTTGCGAATTCTTGAGGTCAGCTTCGTCCGCACCTGTCGTGAGGCTGGTCCACACACCCCTGTTGGGATTATGGGTTATTGTAATAAATAACTGGATGTATACTGTAGAGGTGTAAACTGTCTGGTAGCCCAAAGCTTTCTGGTCGGTGTTGTAGATGCTGGTCTCTTAGCTTGCCTCTATATTATACACTTAAGTATAAAAAGAGGGCGTTTCCACGCCGTCAATCCGTCGCTTAAGTAATCCACGATCGGAAGTGATGTGTGCTGAGACTATGACGTAGTTAAGGATACGTGATTTAAGGTCTGTGATTACGTCTGGCTGTCATCAGCAGATGGAGAGAAGTCGATTCCTGAAATTAAAGTAAACTGACACAACAGCTGTTTAAACAATATGTACTGTACATGTTACATGATGAAGCTTATAAAACATTTAAAGTCTACTTTGTGGAATGAAAGTGTATCACTCTATGAGAGATAGTTGACTATATATATATATATATATATATATATATATATATATATATATATATATATATATATATATATATATATATATATATATATATATATATATATAGTGATATATATATATATATATATATATATATATATATATATATATATATATGTGTGTGTGTGTGTGTGTGTGTGTGTGTGTGCAAGTAAATCACTGTAGGTGCAGGTGATCGGTAGTATGCTGATAAGGAAGAAATGCTTGTATTCACTCAGTGAGTACAGACTGTCTGTACTCACCCCTGAAGATGTGAATTACACGAAAGCGCTTGGGAACTTTCGTGTTTTTCCTTGTATCAGCATATATATATATATATATATATATATATATATATATATATATATATATATATATATATATATATATATATATATATATATATATATATATATATATATATATATATATATATATATATATATATATATATATATATATATATATATATATATATATATATATATATATATATATATATATATGGGTGTGTGTGTGTGTGTATTTTCCAGTTCCCTAGGTGGCTTTGGAGCAGCCGTGGTGAACAATGTTGATATTGACGGAAGATGGGAAGTAGAGAGAGTCACAGACAACTATCACTACATCTGTAAGAAGAAAACAGGTGAGAAAGTGAAAAGAGATAATGAGAGACTAACAGGTGGGGTCAGAAAAAGAAAACAAAAGAGACAAGGTGCCGAAAAATCAAACACAGCCGATATTAATTAAACTGTATTGAAATTCAGTACTGGAGGCTCTCTTCCTCACCCAATTCATACGAAATCCACCTTTCTTCTGCAGACTGCTAAATACCGAGCTGTGTTTCGCAACAAGGGGTATGTATCTTTAATGAAGTTCTCTTGAGGCTTCAGGCAGTGTTGAGTTGCAACTACGTTGCTTCTTCTTAATTTTAACGTAATAACAAAACTATGTTCCTTGTGTTTTTAGTCTGTCTTGTCGCGATGGTTGTGTAAGCAGCTTTGGGTAACTGGAGGTTGAAGAGCAATAGCTTTCTTTGCCTAAATGTCTGACAAAAATGACTCCACTATGATACGTTGTCACTCAAATTATTAAGTTTATGCTTTACTTTGACAAAGTCAGTGTTACATAAAATTAATTGTCATAATACAATGTAATATAATCTTAGTTTAGATAAATTAGTTCACCAGGTGAAATAATCCGATGGCAATCAACACTCACGAGACTAATTTAGTTGTACTAGTAATAATGCAACACCTCTACTTATATTTTTATACAAGTGAATCATGATTTATATAATTTACAGAGAAATCCATGACATACCCAGGTAAACAAGCGCATTCAACAATAAATTAGTACACAAGCCCACCATTGGCATCTACGAGGGTGCTATAACGTTCCCGGTGGGCAGTCGCTCAGGCAAGATTTACAAATAACTAATCATCCGTGGAATTATATAAAATAATATCCACGTCAGGGAACTTAGTCCAATTCCATTTTTATGCTTCTCAAGGAGGGTGTGTGGCTGGATGGGAGGAGTTCGCAGGAGCCTGCTACTACTTCATTACGGGAAACGACGACTTCCTTGTCTGGGAGGATGCGAAGGCTTCTTGTGAAGACATAGGAGCATCCCTCGTTGTCCTCGAAACCCAGGACGAGGATATATTCATTCGAGGCCACATTCCCGAGACTGAAAGCATCTGGCTAGGTCTTTATAGTAAGTTCCTTAAGTAGTTGCTTTGTTCCCGATGAATGTGAATTTTTGCTGCGTTGTGAGATGGTAATTGCTTAGTGAGATGTAAGCTATGAGTGACTTGGTTATATCTCACGGCCTCACCTTTACCCAGTTCACAACTAAGAATAAACCACACGACTATTGTGACGAGGCTAACTTAACTACCGAACTACCATAACTACCAAACTACCATAACTACCAAACTACCAAGATACCATAACTACCATACTACCATAACTGCCAGGCTACTATAATGTCTTCAGCTATCCCGACAACAATTCCACTTAGAAGTAATAACCACCACCTCTACTAGCCTTTCTTACTATAACAGGCAAACCCAAAGAGGAATTCTACTGGATGAACGGTGCCACCATCGCTAGCTACAATTTTTCCTTCATGAAACAGGAAGACACCCGCATCGCCCTCAGCTCTAACTCCTCCAAGTGTGTCTTCTTCCAAGTTTCAGGTGAGTGCTAGTTATTCCAAGAAGAGTGGTTAAAGATGAAATGTACAAATGCTACTAGGTCAAAGAATAACTGGCTAGGGTCCTCAAATCACGCTTGAGAAGTAAAAGGGTGTACAGATTCATAAACATTTGGTATAGAGATAAAATACCATACATGACAGGTAAGAGGGCAGAGGCTGAAGATGAGGGCAGAAGATGATAATAGACGAGATTAATTTTTTTAATGAGAGGTCATTGGTCACTGTTCATATAGGTCAAAATCTACATATACGGCTGGTTAATGAGTACTTGATGCAGCATATTTTTAAAAGACCCTTAATTGTCCACTAAATCTAAGAGATGTCTTATTATACTGTTCCGGCAGTATGGGACAAAGGACTCCAGAAGAATTCCTCTTGGGTACCTGTTGACTGTCAGGAGGCCAAATTCTACGCTTGTGAGGTGCCTGCTGGAACTTCTCTCTCGCTCGCTCCTCCTTCTGGTTAGTTGTTTAATCTGACCTTTTTCACTAGTTAATATTGATTTATGAATATTTTTTTTCTAATGTACATAATTTATCATTTGCAAAGATTCTACAGGGTGGTCCATTAGTTGTACCCTCTATACTGCCTGTGAATGTTTTTGTTTTGTTTTTTGGGGCGGCAACTAAATATCTCAATACAGGCAGAAGGAAATGTTGTAATATTCTCAGGGGGGAGAATAATTTGAATTTCAAGGGTCAAGAAGCTGTTCTCTCTAACCAAATCGGGGATAAAAGTCTGGTGTTACTTTAAAATAACAATTCAGCTGATATTATAGACACCCCGAGACACAATTAAAACATTCATAAAGTATAGACAATTGGAAATACACTTCAAAAAGTATCTTCACCGTTATGTCAGATGAAATTCAAAATTAACACTGCCACTCCCGTTGTCTCGGTAGGGTTGTCAATATCTTTCGTCCATTGTGTCATAATGTCTAACACAAACTTGAAAAAATACTTTTTTGGAGCGTGTTTATATTTCCAGTTATCAACCCAGTATCTAGAGCTAATATGCAGTACTCACTGAAGAACACCACCAAGTCAATGTACTGTACAGCACGGCAAGGCACGCAATATATAGATTCACTGCACTGAAGTTAAACAACCCATGACGGTACACTGTAATTTCCGTCCAGGAGCATTTACCACCTGTTCCAGAGAAGCCGTTAGATGTCATCACATTTAATATATTTTGAACGTGGATATCCTACTTGCAGGTGAACATGTAGGAAACCTAAACTAAAAGTGTTACTCTTCATATGTTGTCATTTTTACCGTATATTCTTATGACCCTAAGCCTATTACACTAGCCATATTATAGCAAGAATTTTACAAATTATATAAAAGTTTTAGGCAATTAAAATATAGGCGATGAAACTTCTGCTGTAATAAGTTGTGGTTCATACTATACACTGTGTAGATGGAGTACTCACCCCACTCACCCTACCAGAAGACGTATATTGTTCCACTCACCCTACCAGAAGACGTATATTGTTCCACTCACCCTACCAGAAGACGTATATTGTTCCACTCACCCTACCAGAAGACGTATATTGTTCCACTCACCCTACCAGAAGACGTATATTGTCCCACTCGCCCTACTCATCCCCCCCCCCGTAGACGTGTACTGTCAAACTCACCTCATCCCCCCCCTCAGTAGACGTGTATTGTGCCACTCACCCCATTCATCTTCAGAATAGATATGCACTGCCCTATTCACCCCACTCATCCTCCCAGAAGACGTGCATTGTCCCACTCACCCCACTCACTGTCATAGTAGATATGCACTCTACGACTCACCCCACTCACCATCTCAGTAGATATGCACTCTACTACTCACCCTCCCAGTAGACATGCACTGTCCCATTCCTCACACTCACCCTCCTAGAAGAAGTGTACTGTCCCACTCGCCCTCCCAGCAGACATGCACTGCCCCACTCATCCCACTCATCCTCACAGTAGACGTGCACTGTCCCCGGGGATGGCTCAAATATCAGGGCCACTGTTACCTGCCTAGCTACCAGCAGGTGACTTGGTCTGAGGCCCGGGAGTCCTGTGAGGAATTTGGAGCTGATCTCACGTCCGTCTTGACTTGGCAGGAGCAAGACTTTATTCACAGTACGTATCGTATGGACATACAGTAGCTTATCTTAACTACAGAAAGAGAGAGATTACCACATGTCGATGATAACCATTTACAGTATACGGCCTAACTGTATACTGTATATCATACAACTATATAATTTAAAAGTATAATTCCACTTTATGATTCTTTCTCTCTTGTTAATTGTTAACGCCCGGACTTTTGGACCATGGTTTCCTAAGCATATATATATATATATATATATATATATATATATATATATATATATATATATATATATATATATATATATATATATATATATATATATATATATATATATATATTGGTACATAATGATTTTTCCTTGTAAATTAAATAATAGGAATATTTTATGGACACTTGTCTTGGATGACGGAAAAACATTTCCGTACCCGTAGACCAGCAGGCGGCGAGTGGATGGATAGGGCTGCAACAAAAACTGAGTGACAGAAACTGGGAGTGGAGTGACAGTTCGCCTGTGAGCATAACTAATTGGGAAAACGGTAAGTAACTCGTGTATATAGAGGCATCTTAAGAACCCACTTGTAAAAAACGTCAGAAAGAAGTCAATTTAAACAAGTCTAAGAGGTTAATAAAAAAAATTATTTGGAACGAAAAGAAGGAAGTTAAAATATAAATTGTGATTATTTGTGTAGTTACAGTAATACTCTCGTGACGAGCCTAAGTCTTGAGGCTTACTGAGCTGAGTCAAGAGTTTGTTAAATATTGATATAAGCCTTTTCATTAGGCACATGATAATTAATTTTTTTTTTAATTTTCCTTTAATAGATATAATGTTAATCCTTACGTCTTTAGGAAAACACGACAGAATGCTTCGTCACTTAGTAGCATCAGATATTAAATTGTATAAACATTTCTTATTCCAAAGTCTATTAGGATAAATAATTATCAAAAGCTCAACGTTTTTGCCATAGATCCTTAATTGGGTTAGTTTAAAAATAATGGGAAAGTATGACGAATATGGGTTAACAGTTAATGCTGTAAAGACGAAAGTAATGGTTGTTTCAAATTTTTAAATAAATAATAAATAAAAATTCTGGGAGGCAATTGGGAACTTAAACACGTGAGAAACTATGTGTTTTGGGGAAGTGACATTAGCTGTGATGTGCGAAAGAAATATTAACAAGAATAGGTCAAACAAACACTACATTTACTAATTAATTTAAAGCACCTAATGAAAAGGACAATAACTTCATTTTGAAAAAAATAAATGTTGCTTAAATGCTTTATATGGGAAGAACTACTGTATGGGTCAAAAGCGTGGACACTTTCAGCAGACACCTGAAGGAAATTGAATACCTTTGAAATGTGGTGTTACAGGTGAATGCAAGAATAAGCCATACTGATAGGAAAAAAGAGAACTATTTAAAATGCACAGAGAAACACAAATGAGATACTTTGATCATATAATTAAAAATGAGGGGATAAAAACAGAAATATTAATGGGCAAAGTTGAAAGTAAGAGGGCCAGTAAAGGCAGAGACTGGGTTGGGTGAGTGAATGTATGTTGTGTTGTCAAAGTAAGAGAAACAATTGAAACCCTACAATTGTGTGTAAATGAGACAGAAAGTCAGATCAGCAACCTGGGACTTGATCAAAGGTTTTGTAATGCCATATGGCAGCAGGGTCTACCATTAGAGGACACATTATGCTTCCAATATCTTCCCAAGCGGTAGTACCTCCCTGTTTGATAGCTGCCCACTACCTACTACCTAATAGAAGTTTAATATTGCTGTTAACTCGTACAGGAGACCATGGCGGCTCGGAGGGGTGTGCTGAGTTACGGAAGGCGAATGGAAAGTGGAGAGCAGCGCCTTGCCAGCTCCACAAGGCATTTACCTGTAAGAGACGGGCCTCGAAGTTTCCATTTGATCCCATCACACACCCAAGACCACACGTCCCTGAAGGTAATGGCTTTTGTGTGCTTGTGCTCTATCTAATCTGTAAGGGAAAGAAAGAAAGAAAGAAAGAAAGAAAGAAAGAAAGAGAAATTGAGACTGGTAATGTCCTGGCCATCTGCACCTAAGCGTTGTTGCGTTTGGTCAAATCAAGACAGTGATATGTCACTCAGATATAGGCCAGGACTCGTAGCAACGGATTTAAGTGGGATAAGTTTAGGTTTAGGAGGGAGATAGGAAGGAACTGGTTCACAAATAGGGTGGTGGACGACTGGAACAAGCTTAGCAACTTTGTAGTAAGTGCTGGAACGCTGGAAAGTTTTAAAAAGAGGCTAGATAGATTCATGGATGATAGAGAGTGGTAGTAAATCTTGACAGGAGCTGCCATGCACAGGTCAACCGGCCTATTGCAGACTCCTTATTTTCTTATGTTCTTATAAGTGATATTGAGCTCACTCCCATACAGGCGTCTGTACTTCAGTAAGGTGTTGGGAAAACAAAGATTCCTTGTACAAGCTTCGGTTATCGGCCACAGAATACAACAACTGGACTCTGACAGTTATTGTTATATTGTTATTACGGCGCTTCAACAACTAAGGTCTTTAAGCGAGTAACAATTACACTAATTATACTATTACATCAACAATTAAAAATTATGAGATCTAAATCTATCTGTGTGTGATAGACAACCATCCTTCAACATATATTGACTTTATTTGACCCATTTGACCCTCATGCATGAAGGGGGGGGGGAACTAAATAAGCAGCTGATAAATAACGCCGATTGTTAGGTTTTAACTAACATCTACACCACTACACCCAAAAGTGGTTAATACAGATGAGTCCTTTAATTTTGATTTAAAAATAAGTCTTCCAGTAAAGAGTTTAGAATATGAAACACCAAGAAGATTGATATATCACAATCGACGACTTAAATCATTTTCTATTTACCTAAGAAATTCATTTTATTCTTAAAAAAAATATATAAATATTCTCCTTCCCATAGAATTACCGTGTGGGCCAGGCTGGACGGAGAACCCTCTAACAGGAGAATGTTACTATCTTGTGCTGGAGGAGCTCACATTTCACGACGCTAGCCAACACTGTCGCCACCACCTGCAGCAGCAAGAAATAGAGAAGGGGAGTGATGATATACCACACCTCGTATCTCTCACCACAATACAGGAACAACTTTTTGTTAGCTGTGAGTAATAATATATATATATATATATATATATATATATATATATATATATATATATATATATTTACCTTAGAAGTGCATATTGTTCTCTGTACCTTCTTGTAATCTGATAGAGCCAAGGCGTCTTGATTTATCCTTTAAACATGTCTAATATTAAAGTTTCCTCAGCAGTGTTGTGACTCATGTACGAGAACAATTAACACTCAGTGGTAAAAATTTATAACAGTGTATAGGTATAATATGAGTAGGGATGATCAGGTAGAATAGTAACTCAAACTGGAAAATAAATGGAATCATTACTAACCTAAACTAACCTGACATAATCTAGCTTAACCAAATCTAAACTAACCTAGCTAAACTTTATCGACCCGAATCTAACCTAAACTAACCTGCCCTAACCTAATAGAATATAACCGGCTTGAACTAACCTAACCAACCTGACTAACATAACAAACATTGAACTAACCAAACTTAAACTAAACTAACCTAAATTACCCTAACATAACCTACCCCACCCTGACCTAGCCTAACCTAACCCCACCCTGACCTAGCCTAACCTAATCAAAACTAACATACACTACCGTATCCTACCCTACATTAACCTAAACTAATCTAACCTAACAAACTCTAAATTAACCTAATCAAACTTAACCTACCCAGCCCTAACCTAGCCAAACCAACCGTAACTTAACCAAGCCTGCCCTAATATAACCAAGCCTACCATAACCTAACCTAACCTGCTCTAACCTAACCTCCCCTAACCTAACATAACTTTACCTAACTTAGAGTAACCTAACCTACTCTACCTTAACTTGAACTAACATAACCAAACCTAACGTGCATCTAAACTAACCTAACCTAATCTAACCTATCCTAACCTCTCATAATTTAGTGATAGTTTGTTTATGTGATGATAGCAAATAACGTCTTACGTGAGAGAGAAGGAATTTAATGATCAATATTTCAATTAGTCAGTGTAATAAAAGTATAAGTTATCTGTTTGGTAAAAATATTGATTGATCAGTGACGTTTAAGGGACTAGGTATGTGGATAATCGATTTAGCGTAACACTCACCTAACCTTGGAGATGTTCGGGGTACTTGGTTCCAACTACAGGAGCGAACATAAACACCTGTAGAGTTCTGTAGGTTCTTATTAACGGAAATATACAGGGGTGCTCTTACAAGCGCAGGTATTCTTTACACTCCTATAGGGTCAACTGACCTCACTCTGACCTCTCCGGCGACATGTGGTAAGTGCTATACTAGCAGCTTCCAGATGTCGCCAGGCACATTTATCTAAGCGTGTGGTGACATGAAACAGGGGCATTGCCACACGCTACTGACTAGAGAAATAATGTGTATATATAGAGTACATACATGGTATACATACAACATACATAATATACATACAAACCTAACCTAACCATGCACTACTACTACTTTATCGTGGCCTCCAGCCTCCCACAATAGCCACACCTTCGCCACCATTTTATTACCTTAATATTAAATATCCTAATACATAAGGAGCTATCCTATCTGTGTTGAATTAGTTGAGCCACAGATCTATGCGGCATTCAGTGACTGTAGCCTCATAGTCAATATCTGCAGCAGTTGTCGGGATTGGGGCAGAAACTCTCGTTCCCCTGAGGCAGAGCAAAACCGACCGAAGGAGAGAGAAAGACAGTCGATATCTCAACCAGGCTGTAATGTAACTTCTGGGCTGCTGCTTCTGTTCGGAGATCACCTCCGCGAGTCTGGCGTAGAAACATCTTGCACTTGGTCCCATCCCACCAGAGGTTGTGAACACTACAGGAGTGAAGCTGCCTTGATCAACGTTTTGAATTCTCTCCCCATATGCCCTTCTCTTGTCGTTCTCGTTCCTCCTATGTGCAGCATCGAGAGCTAGGTTACGGTGACATGCGGTCATGGGATAAAAAATCCTGATGTCGAAGAAAGCTTGCTGTCCCCGCGTCCAGAATCCTCGAGCACTGACGTCCACACGGGCTTCGTTAGATGTGTTTGAAGATCTCACCATCCAATGGAAGGAGGGTCGGTTCTACCATGACATCCCGGCAGATTTCCTTCAACATATTTGCGGTGAGGTCCCTTACCTCGTCATGCCTCATGCATATGAAGCCCCCTTTCTTGCACACCATGGCGTGATCGCCATCATAGGAAGAGCCACACACGCATTGGGAGGGCAAACCTTCTACTGGCCGACCGTACCTTAGAGCAATGGCATCTGTAAATTCTTGTTTATTAAGACTGAAACCATTTGCCCTTATCGGTAACGTAGTTAACCAGTTCGAGGCGCCCACCTCTTGACTACTACTACTACTTTGTTGTCACTCGGAATCGAGTATGACACTACATCCTTGACCACCGAAGGGTCAAGACGTACCTGGCGCTCCTCTCGGAGCAGCCAGGTCAACTGTTATGTTGGCCCATACCAACTCCCTCCCCTGAACCCTCCTCCCCACCGGAATATCAACAAGTTCACGCCAGAAGTTACTATTTCATTTAGGAAAGAAATGGAACCAGTGTTAAACAGAGGTGAACAGTGGTGAACAGTGCTTAAGTCAGTGAGAACAACTCAACAGTAACAGTGGTACCCGTTGACCTTTCACACAGTGAGGTCCCAGGTACCCAGTGATAACGGCCCTGAGACCCAACTACCAGCGATGTGTTAATCCGTCTACGATAGGAAGGCCTGGAACCACACTCACCATATAACACCATCTGTAGGAATTACACCACGAGGCCCTCATAACACCATATGTGAAGGAGTTTACTACACCACGTGAGGCCCCTCATAACACCATCTGTGAGGAATTACTACACCACGTGAGGCCCTCATAACACCATCTGTGAGGGAATTACTACACCACGTGAGGCCCTCATACACCATCTGTGAGGGACTACACCAGTGAGGCCCCTCATAACACCATCTTGAGGAATTACACACACCACGAGGCCCTCATAACACCATCTGTGAGGAATTACTACACCACGTGAGGCCCTCATAACACCATCTGTGAGGGAATACACCACGTGGGGCCCCTCATAACACCATCTGAGGGAACTACTACACCACGTGAGGTCCCTCCTAACACCATCTGGGAGGGAGTTACTACACTGTTTTGCTGTTCAACACCTACATTAATCTGTATGTTCACTGTATGTTCCTTTACCTTTCTCTAATGAAGGCTTTTGTTAAACCACCAATGTATGTAATAAGTCATTTATGTCCAATGTATATTTTCAGCCTTCGGGCTGCAGAACTTTTTCAATAAACCGTTAATTATTATTATTATTATTATTATGACGATCATCCAGCTATGATAAAATGATATGAGTTATTAAGGATGTCACCTTCGATGGTGAGTCTTGAGGCGACTAGAGAGACCGATAAGGACCTGCAGCGTCTTTCTGGCGTTGGCACTTGTCTGCCTCGGTTTGCAGTCGGGCTAACCTGAAAGTATTGACACCTTCTCGTGTGGTGATCCTCCAAGCGTTACGGTGTGGAGTGATCGTCTCCTAGGTGACGGGGTCGATTTGGCATTTTTTCAGGTTTGTCTTAAGACTATTCTCATACCTTTTCAGTTGCCCGCCGGCGTTACATTTACTATTCGTTAGATGACTGTAAAGTAGCTGCTTTGACAGTTTACTGTCGTCCATGCTGGTAACATGGCCAGTTCAGCGTAGTTGTTCATGTATATGGTAGCCAACCACACACACACACACACACACACACACACTCGAAAATTCAATGGGCATTAGTGTCACTGCACCTCACTTTACAGCCCAGGTGGTCAATCAGCATATAGGCCAGACATCCCTCTGGTTGGGGTTAAGAAACGACTATATGGATGGCAACAGGTGGCTGGATGGCTCACCTGTCGTCTACTTCAACTGGGACTCCCGAGCACCTATAGGCCCCCTCACTGACTTCTGTATTGGTACGATCTCGTCCTGCTTTCTTCCCATCTCCAATTTTTTTGTGTTGAGTAAAGAACAAAGCTTTGTAAACAAGATCTTCATCATAGTAATCTTTTTTACTTAAGCAAATGTCTTCCAATTTACAAAAACAAGCTGCTGTTGTTTCTTTAACTCTGTGGAGTATATATATATATATATATATATATATATATATATATATATATATGCAAGTAAATCACAGTAGTTGCATGTTGGTCAAATATACTGATTCTGTGTGTCCTAACACTATGTCCTAACACTATCTTGTAACTAGACTTAAACAACATAAATATAGTGTTAGGACAGGCCAGGAATCCAATGCTCTGTTTGTTCATTTGAGGGATAACAAGTATTGCATTGACTGGGATAATGCCTCCTCAATATTACCTTGTAATTCATTTGATAGTAGGAACATCATAGAATCTAGTCTCATTAAACATACCGAAGCATTCAATATGAATTTGAGTAATGGCATGTACAAACTGGACAATTTTGTAATTAAGAAGATTTGTAACCAGGTGAGAAGGTTGGGTCACCTTACCCTCTGACCTGACTACCGACCGTTGCGGTGCTATTTAAAGATTAGTAGGGTCATTACCTAATACCTGACCATTGTGGACCTGATCTCACCCTCCTCTGTATATATATACACCTTGTTTTGTACTTCTCCTTAGTCTGTACTCACCCCTGAAGATGTGAATTACACGAAAGCGCTTGGGAACTTCGTGTTTTCTTCCTTCCTTGTGGTTATCAGCATATACCTAGATCACGTGCAACTACTGTGATTTACTTGCATATAATATATATATATATATATATATATATATATATATATATATATATATATATATATATATATATATATATATATATATATATATATATATATATATATATACATATATATATATATATAATTATATATCTAGTTAAATATCCCTATATATTTTAGTATATTTTCATTGAGTATAGTCAAGTCACAGACATTCAGGAATCATGGAATTACTTGAGAGTGATTAAGATACGTATTGATTATGTGACTTTGATGTTACTGCCACAGTACTCTATTCTGCCAATAATTATAGCTCTTCTATATTTTCTTGTTCGATGTATCTCTCCTCTGTTCTGGTATTAGCAATATTTATCTTATATTTTGGTATCAGCGACATTTCTCTTACATCCGGCTATTAGCGATATTTCTCATACATTCGGCTATTAGCGATATTTTTCTTACATCCGGCTATTAGCGATATTTCTCTTACATCCGGCTATCAGCGATATTTCTCTTGCATCGGGTTAGAACATAAGAAAATAAGGAGTCTGCAATAGGCCGGTTGGCCTGTGCATGGCAGCTCCTGTCGAGAGTTACTACCACTCTATCATCCATGAATCTATCCAGCCTCCCTTTGAAACTTTCCAGCGTTCCCAGCACTTACTACAAAGTTGCTAAGCTTGTTCCACGCGTCCACCACCCTATTTGTAAACCAGTTCCTTCCTATCTCCCTCCTAAACCTAAACTTATTCAACATAAATCCGTTGTTCCGAGTCCTATCCTGCTCGGATATTATAAGAACTTTATCTATATCACCTTTATTGATTCCTTTCACTCACTTGAATACTTCTATTATATCTCCCCGCACTCTTCGTCTTTCTAGGGAATGCAAGTTTAGTTTCTTTAACGTATCCTGATATGGAAGGTTTCTAAGTCCCGGTTATCATTTTCGTCATTCTTCGCTGCACCGACTCTAGTAAATTGATATCCATTCTATAATAAGGGCACCAGAACTGAACCGCATAATTTTTTGCTGATAATCTCCGCCCGGTAATTAGTAATTGTTGATGTTCAACCTTTTTTCATTGACCATTTATCTACCTTGCTATATTCAGTTACCAGCGATATCTCTCCAATCTTAGGCTATCAGCGACTTACTGTTGACTCGGTTATGAATGATATCAGTAAAATTTCTTCCTTTGTTTGTTATGTGTGAAGAACTTTGTCCCATTACCTTGGATACGCGTTTGTTATCTCACAATTAATTGTGTCTAAGTGATTTTCTGCGTCACGCTGTTATATGTATTTGTGTTAATATCTAAAAACCTCATAAACTCCAAGACTTTTTATGTGACATTGCCCTGAGTGTTACAGAGATGTACACAGGCAGCGGGAAATGGAACGACGTCTCTTGTGAGCAGCGCCTAATCTTCATCTGTGAGAAGAAAGGTGAATTTCACTTGTCTATTTTGTGAGACTTTGAAAGAGAGAGAAAAAAAACTGATATATTGAGAAAATGAAGAAAATGCACAAAAGAGCAGAGAGGGGAGGCGAAAAGGAAACAGGAAGAGAGAGACATCAAATAGAAAGATGAAAGATGGTAGAGAGAGAAAAGGAGAAACAGAGAGAATGATAAATGTCAAAGCAGCCAAAGATATACAAGTATAGATGATAAAAACAGACACCTATGCAAAAAAATTTAACCCATAATATTTTTTTTCCAGCCAAGAAGTATACTCCTCCACAGACACTTCCACCCCCTCCTGAAGGTGAGTGTATGACTTTGAAATCCTCTTGGTATCTCACCTCTCACTTTAATAATATGCCAAAGAAAATCAGTTAGTTCTTTCATGTGTTAAACTCGAACGTATCAAAGAGTAATAATAATAGATAGTTTTCTTAAGAACTTAAACCTAATTATTCTTTCTAAATTCTTATTACAAGAACCTTCATATTTTTAACTGATACACATTAGTTTAAGGTACGATATGATAATTTTCATTAAATTTCATCAGCAAAATTTTTTTATAATATCCATACTGCAAAAACTGGTAACTGCAGGCAGAAGACATAGGAAGCTTTTCCAGTATAGCTTCTATAATCTTGTCACTTGTTCAACCATTCTACAGCTCAGTGTCCTGGTGGGTGGAGGTCCTGGAACCACCACTGTTACTATTTCTCAAGTGACCCAGTCTCGTGGCACCAAGCTCGGGCATGGTGCCAAGATTATCTGGGCAGCGACCTCGTCTCCGTCACTAGTAAAGCCGAGAACTCCTTCATCTTAGGTCAGTAATCATCAATTTTATGCCACTTTTCGTGTGACATGGATGAAATTTTGAGGGTCATATGTTAAGGGCCATTTGTTATAGGCATCACGTGAGGGTTTAGTATCACGGATGTTGAATAATAATGTTATGTGCTATGGTGTAAGGACAGGAGTCATGTGGAATGCGTGGGTAGTCATGAGTCGTCTTTCATGTGGTTATAAGATTACCAAACATCGACAGTACTCCAAGAGTCTATAAAGTCCATTATCAAACTTTATTTTACATTAGCGGAACACCATGGAAGAGGGGGGAAAGGAGGAGAAGGAGGAGGAAGAAGAGGAGAATGAAAAGTAGGAAGAAGAGAAGGAGGGGGAAGAGGATGAAGAAGAAGAAAAAGCTATGCTGACACTCTATGCTAGTAAGGCTGTGTTGACCTATGAATTGACGTGGCACTGTCTTTCCTTTTACAGGAGAAGTGTTCCGCGCCAAGCAAGATGTGTGGCTGGGTCTGTACGCTGACGGAAACACTAGGAGCTGGTCTTGGGTGGATGGATCGAATATTAATAGGTACCACAACTGGCTGGGGAGTCATTCTGCTACTCATGGTCAATGTGGTGAGGTATGTGTGCATGTACAATAGCCATGTATTCCTGATGGCTGACTTCGGGACTTATTATTAAATGTGTAAACGTGTTGGATGTGTAGAATGAAAATGAATGTCAGATAAGGGAGCTCTCTAATAGGAGAGAGAGATTATATGGTCAAGTGCTAAATGTGTTTTTAGGTGTAACTAGAAGGCCCCTTTCTTTTTCCACTTTATTTTTTAAATTTGTTTAAATAGCTCAGAGCAGACGGTACCTTGCTGGAAGGTTTTTGGGTCCCGGCCTCATGTAACACGGAGAAAGTCTTCATATGCAAGACGACTACCGGTAAGTACTCGAGCACAAACAACACTTAGGTATCTTTGTATAAGTATTAACCACTTTTTGTCTAGATTGAGCAAAATATAGAAGTCGAAGACTCGATGAAAAAATATATTAGAATTTTTGTTTTTACAATTTAATCCTTTTATCATTGATTTGTTTATCTTCAAGGATGTTTTATAATTTAGAGTTTATATTTTCTTATCATAGTCTATTTTTAAATCCTCAAATAGAGTCTAATTACAGTGTATCCCTTGTTGTCAGAGGCGTGTCCCCAGGGTTGGACTCACTATAAGGGTAAATGTTACTTCGCCAGTGGTTTGGAGGCCACCTGGCGAGTGGCACAGGACAGTTGTGTGAGTTACAACGCCCGCGCCAGCCTCGTCAGCGTCAGTTCCCAAGAAGAGAACTCCTTCCTTGTTGGTAGGTTGAAAACAAGGAGACGTGTGTGTGTGTGTCATTTTAATCAAATCATACACAAACACACGCACACACACACATTGATACATAATAATATTCCAAGTAATCAAAATAGATCTTCTTGTTCCCAACAGTAAAGATTAGTTCTCTATTTTTAGATTTCTTTCATTCTTGACAGACTCGCTGATTCCCAAGATCGGTGGTAACACGTGGCTCGGCCTCACTTACGACCTGCTAACTAGTACCTGGGTTTGGGTGGACGGCCGGAAAAACGATTACACCAACTGGAATATTGGTGAGCCCCTCCACGAGGGTGAGGACCGTTGTGTCGAGCTCCTCTCGGCTCAGGGCAAGTGGACCTCCCTCCTCTGTGACAACAGTAGGACCTTCGTCTGTCAGTTGCGTGCAGGTATTTAGCATAAACGTGGATCACAGGGCGTGTGTGAATGGTTGTGGATGTTTCAGTGTGATGACATGTTTTTCAAGAGAAGAATGTTTTGGTGGCTTATATAGCAACTAGTAAAATGAGATGGATGCACTTGTTCCCCTGTCCTTTTAGATTTGTTGTATATGTATACATTTACTGCCTCGATGTTGGCCCTCCCGTGCAATTCTTCGTTTGTGATCATTTTTTCATATATATATATATATATATATATATATATATATATATATATATATATATATATATATATATATATATATATATATATATATATATATATATATATATAAATATATATATATAGTATATATATATATATATATATATATATATATATATATATATAATATATATATATATATATATATATATATATATATATATATATATATATATATATATATATATATATATATATATATATATATATATATATATATATACAGTATATATATATATATATATATATATATATATATATATATATATATATATATATATATATATATATATATATATATATATATATATATATATATATATATATATATATATATAAGAACATAAGAAAATAAGGAGTCTGAGAAAGTGTCATAAGAAAAATAAGGAGTCTGCAATAGCTAGTTATTCTGTGCATGGTAGCTCCTGAGACACACACCACCTCTATCATCCATGAATCGTATCTAGCCTCCTTTTTTTAAACCCCAGAGTTCCAGCATTCCTGCCATAAAGTTGATAAGCTTGTTCTAATTTGTCTACCACCCTCGGCTTATAGAACCAGTTTTCCTATTCCTCCTAAACCCAAAACTTATCCAACTTAAATCCGTTAGTCTTGAGTCCATCTCTGCTCCTATACATAAGAACTCAATTTATATCCCTTTATTGGATTCCTTTCAACGACTTCTAAACACTTCTTATCATATCTCCCTTGGCCACCTTTCGTCTTTTCTACGGAATGCAGTTGTTTCTTTAACCCATCTCTGATATGGAAGGTTTCCCTTTAAGTCCTATTTCATTTCATTTCATTCTTCGCTGCACCGACTCAGTGAATTTATATCCATTCTATAATAAAGCACCAGAACTGAAATATAATCGAGGTGCGCCCGAATTAGCGCAAGATATGAAGCTGCAATAAGACTTCAATTTGTTACTTGTAAAATTATAACCAATACTTCCTGTTTGGCCTTGCTTCTCAAACACAGGCATTGCTTAGGCTGTAGGTCCGGCTTACAAGCAATCAGGCCCTTTTACAAGCGGACTGGTTGATGTTGTTAAGGCTGCATACATTGCTGTATTTGTTCTTCCATTATTATGGTACCGCCAACTTAAGGTGCTGAATTTCATTTGGCCATTTTTCGCATTCACCCTGCAGTTTATTTAGAGATCCTCCTGTAATGCGTGTTGCAGATCTGCCCTGAATTAATCTTTTACGCCCTATTTTAAAAGTCATCCTAAAACTTGCTATGTCACCCGCTGATCCCAGTATTCAGATTTATGGATGGCGGCAGAGCGAAGCTGGCAATAGACTTAGGGAACTGCACCGTTTAATGGGCCCACCCAGATTTAACAATGATCAACGCCAATTTAATGTATCATATCGGTGAGCCATGATTTTATCCAATTCAAATCCTCGACCGATATATCATGGTTTTAATTTTCTGAAGCCCTGATGCGGCATTTCGTCAAAGTTCGCCGACAAAAGTCCGTTAGCACTATCAATTTCGTCATTATCTACTATCCCCGAAGACTTGCAAATGCCAAAGAAAGATTTGGTGACAAGATTTTCCCTTTGTAAACCCATGTTGCGAGTCGTAGACAATGATTGATGCGATCGATGCTACAACTTGATTCAGAAATTTACCTTACTGACGTGTGTCAACGGGCATGCATGAACTGATCGTCGTTAAACAGATAAAAGCAGCTTGATG